TCTTCTACCGTAGGTCTATCATGTCCTTACAGTGAGAAACTCCCGTAACAAATGAGGATGCGGAGTTCTAGATAGAGTGACTCCTATGGTGTACGTGCCGCATGACAGCACGATAGAAATACAAAACTATATAGCTTTTTCTTTTTTGGAAACTATTCATTTTGGAAAAAGCCAGGATAATACGACATTCAACAAATTAATCCCTTGCGGCTTTCTGTATAGAATCACGTTTTTTTCTGCAAAAATTAAGAGCGGTGCTGTAGTACTACAGTATATAACCTAACCAGTGGTTTTGCTAGCTATATTTAGCTCCTTACTATGATCTCCTCTTGCTTGACTTGTTGTGGTAGAAGTATCGGATGCTCTAGTGGTTGATGAACCAGAGATTCAGGAAAGAAAGATAGTTCTTCTGTAGGCGGGGGCATTACAGAGTAAGGCGGTGGCGGCATACAGACTAAAAATGGGAAGGAATTGAACAACAGAAAAGAGTTTCGGAACGAAATTGCTAATTACCTGCGAGCTGCTCTTCTGGTAGCACGTGTGGATAAATTACCGGTGGCGGCACTAGTGAACCCATAGGGAATGAGAATTGCGAAGGAGCTATAGATGTAGCTGAAGTCATGGGACGCGTGGGAGAGTCCGACGAGGAATCAAAGTCGGACATTGGGCTAGACTGGAATATAATAGGGTAAGAAGTGCGAAAAAGTGCAATAAAAGCAACATGTATTTCAGTTATCCCGTAATTGTCGGATAAACTTGTAAGTTCCTCCTAGAGACTGTTTTGCAGCACACTGTATACCATTCAGAAGAACTCTCCCCCCTCCCTCCTCCCCAAAAGATAGTTTGCTTGGCTTATTCAACGATTTCGATTTTATTGAGCCAGAAATGCTCGAAAATGTATTTTTAGAAGGCAAAAAAAAACTCAACCGACAGCTTAATTTTTTTTAATGCGAGAGTTACAAATTGCTAGGATGCAGTTAGTTAAATAAGCAAATATGCTTACACATCGTATCTATTCCCTATGATAGTGCCTTTAGATCTAGTCAGGTTATTTGATATGTTGATTACAAGAATCTTACTCACTGTCTTAAATGATAAACTTTCACCGTAAATGTGATGAATGCTGGATGGAAGCTCCAAAAACACAATCTATTGGAGGGCAAAATTGAGTAAATTTATGTTTACCGTACAAAATGGCAAACTTGGAATGGGCATTGAATAGAATACAACACAGTTTATTAATATATTATTATTATTATTATTATTATTATTATTATTATTATTATTATTATTATTATTACTATTATTATTATT